TGTTATTTAAAGAGCCATCACTCCTGGCAAAAGAACCCAGAATAAGACAATAGCTTAGATTACATGAATAATGACATCAGTACTCAGATGACCGGAAAGCCTTATGGCAAATCCTCTAATCTGATTTTAGCATCCGACTGTGTTTTAGCATCTGACTGTGTTTGATTGATTTGACCAAATTGGTCAAATCAATAGTCAAATGCAAAAAGATTTATGCTCCACTAGAAAAGTGAAAAAAAGTTATTTCTCAAATGCTTTTTTTGCACATTAGCCTAAATGTTTAACCTATTAGTGACCTACAGGGCAATTTATTTCATCATTAAGCTTTTCTTTTCTTTCCAATTGCTATTTTTCTGATAGGCTGCGTTTTGAATGAAAGCGTTATGGATTAATTGATGCATTGATCGACTGAGGCTTTCAGCACTCCAATTTATGAGGGGAGGATTTATGCAGGCTCAGTCACAGCTGACTTGACTGACCTGTTTATTGAAAGTAAAGCTATTTTTGTCCCAGCTCAAAGGGAGCAACTTAAGTTTAGACAAGATTTATTAGTCTGTCACAGGTTGGCACATGTAGCTAAAGGTTTAGCTATTTAAGCTTAGATGGCATTAAAGGAGTAATTTTTTTTCTTTTTAAGGTGGATACTTCCTTTTCTAGATAAAAAAAATAATAATTAACTATTTGTTTTGTTTATGAGTTAGAAAAAGAAACACTTATTTTAGTATATGTGATGAAAATAAAGAAAAAAAAGACAATAAATACAATAATATTTGAAGCTGACCTCCTCCAGAAGATCATCCTTAACAAATTGTAATTGCATCTCATGCTGACGCACAACAAATTAGGAAAACCGCTTACTGGAAACCAGTCACTCCAAAGGTTATCAAACTTGGCACAGTCAATATTTCACTTGACATTTTTAAATTTGCGTCATAGTAATCTATTTCCTTTTACCATTTGAACTTATAACATATAAACTCAGCTGTTCAAGACTAATGCACATACATTATCGCCATGAAAGCACATAATAGCAAACTACTGTACACTGTTAGAGCCTTGAGAGGGACTGTAATTAGATAGCTAGGGTCAAATGGTAAAAATGTATATTTTAATCAAAGCTATTGTTAATTTCTGTCTTCTTTGGACATTTTAAGGTTATTTATGCTGGGAGCATTAGTCTTAGCTGCCGACATATCATTTCAGATGAAATAAAGTTCTCTGGTGATACATACCAACAACTGAAATTAAGGAGTTTTTATCCCCAGTGGCTTTGATGAAATAGGTCACTGGTCAGCAAAACAGAGCTGCCATGGTGCATATCGTCCCTCAGGGATTAAGTGAGGTCCTAAAAAAGAAAACATTTTTTATTTCACTGAACAGGGTCCATGTGTAGAGGGTTGTGCTTTTTGTGATATTTAACCTAAATGAATGACTAAACTATATTCTCTGTGAATTAGGTAGATATGAAGCATAAAAATGTCAATAGGTATGGTCCAAAGTCATAATGTAATGCTGTAATGCAGTTATTCAGAAGTTGAAAAAAAGCAGAAACTATTCTAAGAGCCTATATGTTAAAACAGGTTACAAGAAGAAATATGACTTTTTTTGTAATTTTTTTTGTATACCTTTGTGCAACTTTACAGTAGGTTTAATAAATACAAACAGGCAAATGACTGTAAAAATGTTATGGTTAAAGGACTCATAACTAGATGTTTTACATATAAAGTTCTTTAAATTGTCTTTAAATTCCTGAGTAATGTTTTTTAGGACAACAAAAATTAAATAGAGCTCATTCAGACCCCTTTTCTTCTCCGGAGGGTATGAGAACTTGATGTGTGTGTGAAAATTTAACTGGATTTTTGCAACCTTTTTTCACCATGGGAAAAAGGTTGCAAAGTAGCCCCACTTTACCAATTGCACTGAAAAAATGAGGAGTAAAATTTTTTAGAGAACGCTAGCTAACTTTTTATACATAATTTTTTTATAGATGTCATTCTATAAATCTAAGTTTAATTTTACTTATTTAAGAAGAGTTGATTTTTTAAACAAACTCTAGAACTTTTACTACCATATTATTGTTAATAAAGGCGTACTTTTGTTTTGCTAATAAATAATGCTGAACTCATATTTTATTCAGTTCCAAATGTTAAGTAAAAAGTAATAATTTTCTTTTTCCAAGTAATCAACTGCATACTATTTTCATTGTTTTTCCATTTTCAATACATACAACTCATCTAATAAAATTCAATACAGCTGTAAGACATTACAAACCCTTTGTCAGCATGTGGGTGGAGGTTGGTTGAGGACCCAAATGCAGAGATGAGGGAGGCATAGATTAATTCTTGTAGGTTTAATAAAATAAAAAAAAAAAACAGAAACAAAATCCAAGCAGCAAACTAAAAGGCCAGGAGATGTCAGGAGAAAACACACATGGGGAGCCAAGAAACAACAAGGAACTAGCACTGAAGAACTGCACAGGGGGAGGATATATGGGAGAGAGAACAAAGACTGGGGTAATTAGATGATATGGAGCAGGTGTGGATGCAAGTGACAAGAAGGGAGCTAGGGGAAAGGAGACAGGAACAAGAGGGCAACAGAGAGTAACTCAAGACTGCTTGAATATAACACAAAATGGAAAAAAAAAACAAAAAACAAAAAAAAAAACCCCAACAAATAACACTTTTAAGCCGTAAGAACACTCTGTATATACAGTAATCTTGCAACTGCAAATCAGGCTATATTAAAACAATCATTTCTCACTGAACAGTAATCTCGCCTGATTCAGACAGTTATTGATTAAAAGAAACAAGGAAACACCCATCCATTTTCTCCCACTTATTCATTTAAGGTCACGTTGCCCATCTCAAGCAGTCTATTGCCATAGGCGGTGCAAACCTGGACAGTTCGCCATTCTATTGCAGGGCAACACAGAGATGTACAGCCATGCACATATACATTCACACCTAAGGAGAATCTAGCAAAGCCAATCGACCTGTGGGAGGAAGCTTGCGTACCCTGAGAGGATCCACATGCAGAACCGCAGAACTTTCTTGCTGCAAGGCAAAAGTGCTACAAACTGCACCACTGACAAAATATTCTATTTCTGACCTAAACATTCAATTGAAAAAGCTTCCTGGATGGGAAGTGAAACGTCTTCAAACTTGGAAACAAAGTCCAGTGGATTGTTTCTAAATTTTTTTTGGAATGACTATGACTGACAATCTTCACCAACACTCTGCATTTAACCCACCTCCTTGGGGAGCAGTGGGCTGCCATCGTGTATGGTTGTTGAAAGGCAGGCCAGATTTAACAATAAATATCAGTTATCCTCCTACTTGAGGAAAACTGTACAATACCAACCCCAATAAGTTCAGAGTACTCAAAATGTTTGTGGAAACTGTGTTAGGAATCCAGTTCGTGTGAGTTTTTTGTGTGTTTCTTCTCTCTCCACCAGCAGGTGGTGCCCTGTCCTCTTTGGGCCTTCCTGCACACCTGCGGCTCATGGATTCATTACTGGCGGAGTATTTGAGCTGTGAGCTGTCACTACCTGGACGCCAGAGTGTTTGCCAGTTTTGGGTACTCTAGCCAAGCTGAGATTAGCTGAGTATAACCTGAGCTTTATTTCTCTGAGTCCTATCTAGTATTCTGTCTTTGCTCTTAGGCAGGAAGCCTTCCAGTGCAAGTGGACACCTGGACCTTCTCCCCCTGGAAGGATTTACCGAGTACACACTGAGCAGGGGATAACCTCTACGCGATCCGTTCAAGTTCCCATCGGAAATCCAAGTGACAGTCCACTCCATCTCCTCCGGGTCCAACGTATGTCTACCTGTCCACTGTCCAATGAGTTCCCTCTTCTCTGGATAATCCCACACAGACTGGATTCAAGGATAGACAAAAGCCCCCTCAAACACTTTCCAGTTCCGGTTCACCAGTTCACTGAGTTCCAGATCCAACCTCCATTCACATTGCTACAAATAAACCAGTTAAACTTTTCTCCATGTTCTTTGAGTGGTTTCTCTGCATGTGGGTCAGATTCCTTAAACCGATCATGACAAACTGATTATTAGTTTGGAGTACTTATATTTTTACAACATTTAAATCATGGTTTAAAACATTAAAGTACTTCACACTTTAATATTCTAACTTAATTAGTAAAATACTTTGAGATACTGTTTGTCTCTGTGTTGCCCTGAAATAGTACGACAACCTGTCCAGGGTGTACCCTACCTAGGCACCACCACCCCTCTCCACCCCAGCAGGGATAAACATGAAGATGGATGGATGGATGGACTTTGAGGTAATTGTTTTCCACAAATGTTTTGAATATTATGAACTATTTGAATTTACAGTATTTACTTCAGATTCTGAATTCCAAGAGACTTTTTATTAGTTAAGGAAAATCTTACCCTAGAAAAGCTACTGTGGAACAACATTTGCACTGTTGAACTGTGATTAGGGGGTGACATATAAAACTTCTCCTATAAGGCACATTAACATACTGTATTGCATGTTCAAAAATATTGGTAATCTAAAGCCCAAAACTAAATCTATTTGATGCTGATATCGTGTATGATAAGACTTAAAAAAAATGAAAGTGATAGTGATAGTGCAAACCACACTTTTAAGATTTTAGTGGTAATTCATTTTGCAAATTTCTTTCCACTTGAGAAAAATAATGTATTACTTAGTTTTTTCCTTTGTTTTAATCCCTTGGAATACATCTCTATCTTAAATGAATTAAACTTTTTTGGAATAAAAGTTCTGATAAACCTTCGTAAAGTGTTACACGGAAACATGGAAAATATCAAATCAGCAATGCGCTGATATTATAAATGGCAATGAACCTAAATTGGAAAATGTAGCGGGGTGGGGGGTCAATAAAAAAGGGAGGGTTTGGGTAGAGGAGGGGTGTTTCGGGGGGAGTGGTGCTGAATGAACAGCTCCTCATCATCATAAAACAAGCAGAGGGCTCCGCTGCTCCGCCAGAGCCGCCACAGCCATGCTCCAGCCGCGCTCCCCGTCCTGCAGCCCTACGCTGCCTCTCCTCCTGCGCCCCTGACCCTGCACAGATCACAGCCATGAAGAGGCAGAACGTGCGGACACTCGCCCTCATCGGCTGCACTTTTTTCTACCTGATCGTGGGCGCCGTTATCTTTAAAGCTCTGGAGTCCGGTGAGGAGACAATCCAGAAGGAAATGCTGGACATGAAGAAGATTAACCTGCTCGACAGATTGAACCTCTCCAAAGAGGGCTTTGACGAGCTGGAGGAGGTTGTTCTGGAACTGAAACCGCACAAAGCTGGCGTGCAATGGAAATTCGCAGGTTCCTTTTACTTCGCCATCACGGTGATAACGACCATAGGTAAGAGCGCAACTTCTCAGATCGAACTTAAGAGTTTTATCCCAACTTATTACTCAAGTCTGAGCGTTTTTTCTCTCTCCAGGATAAAATACCATAGAGAAGATAGATACTGCTGAATGCCCAAACCTGTTGTACTTAACTTTTTCTACTTGTTTGCCATCAATAACAGAGTGTATATATTTATGTCCACTTCTTATGGTGGCAGAAAAGGCCACATAGGAACATTCTATGCTGTAAAAATGTCACATCCTTGTAATTATTCTGCAAAATAATAGTTCAGATAGATGAATAGTAAAGATAAAGGATATTATATTATGATCAATGGTAATAATCATCCTTATCATCAATCATCATATTCTCCAGATCAAATATTCCCGAAAGATGTGGGGATTTGATCACAAATCATAACAGTCAATATTTATTTATTTAATTATTTATTTATTTATTTATGTATTTATCCTAAATGCGTTCCTATGATTGCAAGTGGCACAGACTGATGGTTTAACAAACGTACAGAGGCGGATTCTATAGCATTTCATTTGCTTGCAGCATTATGCATGTCTCTTAGTGAAGCCAAGAGGAGAACGATTTGCCAAGGTTGTTAGAACTGATGCTTGAGGAAACTTAAGGCCCACTGACTTGTTTTGTTGTGTTCTGTATGTTCTTGTTATCTCTTCCCCCAAAAGACCCATGTGCAACAGCATAAGGTATTAAGATGCAAAATGTGAAACTCCATGCTACTTGCAATTCATTTTTATTTCAGAATATGTCAGATCTACAAGGGCAGGGTTTTGTTGGAGTAAAGTCATACAAAAGACAATGGTTGAAGCATCCCTAAAAATATACATATACCTACCAGACACAGAATGAAAATGAAATGAACTGAAATCAAACTGCATACCTCAATTAAGACCCGACAGCAGGTGATTTTTGTTATTGCCCAAACATTCACTAACAGTCTGATATAGTTGTTATATATATATATATATTTATTTATATATATAGCTTTTAAATAGCAACAAAAGTTCAACTACAAAGTCTTGAGACGGTAGAGCTGAATATGTATGCATAACGCACCTCCCTTTTGTAAAAATGTTTGAAAGTTGTGTGCAATTTTTCTTCCACATGCACTTTGCTGTTTGCCTATATTTTGAAAATACGAACAAAATACACTGTATTTCTGGTTCTAAGATGACACAATGTGAAAATTCGTCGAAATTCGATAGGAATACATTGTAAATACGCTTACAAAGAAAAAGAATAAAAAAAGGGAAAATAACCTCAGTCATGACTTGAGAGATGTATACTTAACTTCTTCTTCACCCTGTCGTTTGGAATACAGTATTTATGTCAAACTGTGGCATATTTGGTTTTTATCTCAGATTCAAAAACAGCTTTTAAAACCTCCATCAATGCCATAAATATAAGTCCGATATTGTTTCCTGGTTGAGGAGATTACAATGTGGAGAAATAACCCAGTTTCCCTTCATTTTAAAACCACGTATGATTCATTTTGATCAAATAAAGTAAGCAGAAAAGTCAAAAGCAACAAAATTAAATCCTGAAAAAAACTGTTTAAAAAAAACATTAAAAGATTAAAAGAAAGACGAAATCATTTGAAGCTAAAAACAAACAAATAAGGGACATTTTAACATTTTCTACTTCACCTTTAAAAATTCTGAGTTTAATAATTTAACTTGAGGACTGAAAAGAAGTAAATGGAGTTCATTAAACAGAATAGTGATGTGGCAGGACTATAGAAACTGTTGAAATGTCAGAGAGCAAAGCCGTCAGAATAAATGGGCACTCGAATCCTAGTTATAAAAGATGCTGATCATGTGGAATTGGGCTAAAAACAATTGAAGGGAATAATCCCTCTCAGCCCTGGTAAACCAAGTCTGCTTGCTATTGACGCATCAGTAGCTAATAAGCTTCCTCCTCCCTTTCATTTTTGCTTATATCATTTAGGCTTTAAACATCAACAGCAGCCATCCCATAACAAAAGTCAATGGTATTTGAAAGCTATATTCAAATACAATGACCTCACTTCAGTTATTCTTACAAGGTTTAAAGCAGATAAAACCAAGAACATATTAATGAAAACAGATGTTTAAAAGCATTGTTTCTGTTTCAAAAACATCAATTTTATTCTGTTCTTATTTCAATTTCATGCTTTTTTTAAATCAATTAAAATAGAAAAAATTTTAATTAGTCCTGTAGAGAAATTAAATGTTGTAACTCATATAGGGGTTTCTGCAACGAGCTGTATTGTAGATGCTGATGTCAGTAAGCAGGAAGGATTCCCTGAAGCATCTGTCTCACACTGCAATCCTGTTTACAAGGAGACAATATTGGACTGAATATTACATGTCATAGATGTTTTCTATCATAAATGTATGGTTAAATAGCTCTTTTTGAATATGTGCTAAATGTCAAATATATAAATATTTGACATGCATACTGTTTAGCGAACCACAGGATGATTCCCAATAACTTTCAGGAATAAATAAATAATAATAAATGCCAAAGTTTAGTTTATGCACATCCCACCAGATGCCCTTCATCCAGATTTTGGTGTCCTACATGCATCCTGGAAACAAGAGTACTTAATGCTTTCTTACAAACAAAGGCTTTTTAACTTTTACATTGTTATATACGACCAGTACTTGCCCCATAAAAAAGAAATGATTAAAATGAGATGAGGATCTCTATCAGAGACCTTGATGCTACTTCACGGATCACTTAGCTCCACTTCCAACCCGCCAGTTTACATGGTCAACCAGGTCCTAAAAATCTTCCATTGGGCTATTTTCAGATGTTCTCCCCGTGCATGTGTGGGTTCTCTCTGGGTACTCCAGCTTCCTCCTGCAGTCAACAAACATGAATTTGAGATAAATTCCTCTCTTAACTGTCCTTAGGTGTATGTGTGTATGTGCATGGTTGTACGTCTTTGTGTGTATCTGTGTCACCCTGCAACAAACTGGCGACCTGCCCAGGGTGTACCCCGCCTCTTACCTGCCTGACCAAATAAACTGGAGAAGATAAACGGATGTGATGATCACTGTAATAGGCATGTTTATAGCTCATCATATAGTTTTATAACCTTACTCCCTTTTAAAGATCTCTATGATCCGTATTCTCTTTGTCCTCATGATGCTGTTTGTTCTCTGATATTCTCTAACTAACCTCTGAGGCCTTCAGATAACACCTGGGTGTATGCTCATTAAATTACACACAGATGGACACTATTTAGTAATTAGAAGAGTTCTGATGGCTGCTGGGCACACTGGGAATGTACCAAAGAATAGGAGGCTGTCAGTCCATTACATCACCGGCCTATTACCAATCTAAAAACATTACTAAAATAAAAAACATAGTATCTAAACCAGACTTGGAGAGATTAATCCATGCATTTTTCTCCAGCAGGTTAGTCTATTGTAATGGCCTGTTCATTGGTCTTTCCAAACATGCTGTTAGACAACTGCAGTTTATCCAAAATGCTGCTGATTGAGTCCTCACCAGAACCAGGAAATATGACCATATTAGTCCATTGCTCTGGTCTCTGCACTGGCTTCCTGTGGCTCAGAGAATAGACTTTAAAACAGCTCTACTTGTGTAAAAGCACGTCTTCTCATGGTTTAGCACCAAAGTAAATCTCTGACATGTTAGACTCGTATGAATTACCTTGGGCCTTGAGCTCCTTGGGGACGGGTCTCCTGGTGGTCCCTAGAGTCACCACTAAACATGCTGAGGCTGTGTTTCAGTTTCATGCAGCCATGGTATGGAACAACCTCAGTGAGGAAGTAAAACAATTCTGAACCCTATGTTTAATGCCAGGTTGAAAACATGCCTATTTTGTGTTGCCTTTGGAAATTGATTGTATTTTAACTACTTTTAATATATAATATTTATTTTTTATATATTTGTCTTGACTGAATTTTTTTTTTTTTTTATTGTGTTTGCATTGTTGGTGTTGCTGTGAGGCAAGTTGAGTTCCCTTGTGCATGAAATGTGCTGTATAAATAAAGTTGCATTGCCTTGCCACTCTTTCAAGAATATTTGCTGCATAAGATCTTGAAAAATACTTCTTTCTTTAATTGTAAATCTGCATCATAGTAAACAGAGAACATACAGTTTACAGGCCCACTCCGTCACATAGTTCCTACTTGTTTAGAAGCTGCTTTTATCTTGACTTCCTATCACACTCTCCATCCTGTATTCAGTAACGATTGCGGTTGTCGTTTCTGACCTGTGACTTGTAACCATATCAGATGCAAGAAGCTAATTGCACACTAACCAAACCACGGGTGTTTGTGTCCACGTTCTGTCATTGTTAGCCCTGCAGATGGTAGAAACCCAGTGACTGGCATTTCAGTCCACCATTAAGAATTAATGACAACACCAGAGCCTCCTTGTTCCACTATAGTCCTGGCACACGACTGCAACATTGCAAATACTATACTGGTAACACAATATCACAGTCCGGCTACAGTAATGTTCTTCTACTGTGCATTATGTAAAATAAATGAATGTAATTATTCCCTGGCTTATTCTAGTTGAATAAAACTAAGATGAAGCCCAGCTGCTCAATGCTCAGCTTTTGATTAAACATATGTGCAGAAGAAAACTGCAATCAGTGATTAGACAACACTTTACAAAGATTAAAAAGATGAGGCGGAGGGCAGAGTGTCCTCTTACACACTATCAGGGGATGGACTGAAGTGATGCGAGACACACAACCGGGGAAAATAAGAGAGCTTTGAGCAAGCTGAGTTCGGGAACCGGGTGTAATAAGATTCGGAGGCTCAAGGGGGGCGGGTTGTCTGCATCACTGTCGTTGTCACCCTCCTCCAGGGGTAAACGTCTTGTCACTGCCACGATCGTCTGTTGCATGCTGAGGACAAATTCTCAGCACAGAGTGTTTTATAATAAGACATGTCACATGTCTGATGTGCTGTTTGACGTGTGATGAAGATGTGAACTTTTGTTTACAGAATGTA